AAGAAACCCAAAAAAATTATATGTCTTATATCATTGTCCATTTAAATAAGTTTTAAAAAAAAATTATACCTTAACAGTTAAATATAGGATCCATGTCTGTTTTATTACGAAACATATAATGTGATATATCTACTAGAAAAATCTTAATTCATAAGCTTAAATCGATACATATAATAAAATTGCATGAACGAAGTCTCTAATTCGTTCATGTAAAATTGTAACTAAGCCGAATGTGTACATTAGATATTTTTGGAAAATCTTATTGAAATAAACATTATTATCGATACAGAGGCCAAATCTATAGTTTTTAGAATTTTTGTCTGTCTGTCGGTTACCGCATTTCAGGAAAACCACTGGAGGGATATTGGTAAAATTTGGTATGATGATAGCTGGTTATCCGGGTCAACATATAGGATACTTTTTACCACGGAAAAATGTTTCATTTCTTAGAAAAAATACAAAAACTGCAAAGTAAGTGTATACAAATATGTACACCTAAGAATTTGGTTTTTGGTCATCTGAACGCAGGCGGAGCCGCGGGCAAGGCTAGTCTATACATATAATAGAAGTGTAACTGATCGCTGTCTGTATATGGAAGATATATGAGAAAAAATATTATTGGAGTCTTTATTAACGCAATAGACCCCAAAACATTCATTGTTTTAGAATTTTTGTCTGTTTGTCTGTGAGTTTGTGCACGCTAATTTCAGAAATAGTTTAACCTATTTAAGTATGATTTTCACTAATATATTATGGTGACTATACACTTAACATTTAATGTTCGTTTTATTTCAATCACTTCATAAATAATAAAGTTATGTCGATTTAAAGAATCACGTATCACTAATATAAACGCGAAAGTTTGTGAGGATGGATGGATAAATGTTTTGCGCAAAAACCACTGAACGGATTTTGATGAAACTTTACAGTAATATAGCGTATATATCAGAGTAACACATAGGCCATAATTTTTATCATATTATAATATATAATCGAACTACGCGTGTGCAGTTGCGGGAAAACGCTAGTTTACAAAATATAGACATTACCTACTTATTGAAATTATTTAATTGGCGACATATTATACAGTATTATATATCGAAGCAGCATTAATTTTCTCTATTATTTTCCATTATTTTATCATGAATTATACAGTGGGCGTTATATGGGAAGTGTTGGTTCCAATGAAAGTCGACGCAATCACAGTTGTATTTCAAATAACAATAATCACTTTGTACATAGTTAAACAGCACTTCACTACACAGCCATATACCACTTCACTATTATACCATGTATAGAGAATACGGAACGCAAGACAGTTCCTAGTGGAGCGGTCCTAAGCTTGGCTCGGCTCGAAGGCAAGTGTCCAGCCCTCTTAGCACCCCTCCCTTAGCTAGGCTCCGTCGTAGCACGAAGCTCGCCGAGTGTTGGCGATAATACCGAAGGTGCTGCCATTACTCAGGCGTCGTGCCGCGCTTCGTTTAGCGACCGTATTGATGACCGTCTCCGACACGGCCATCCTGCATGCACACGCCCTCGTGTGTTAGCCCGTAGCCTCGTGTTAGCCTGCAACCAAATAATCAACGAAAATACTTGCCCGACTCGGTCAATCCTGACCAGATAAAACTTAACTTTGAATCTGAATCATCTTTATTCTAACGAAAAGCTTTAACGCTAACACCTTTGTTTTTTTTTTTAAACTCCAAGTCACTGTAACTATCTCTAATCTAACTAATAACATTAGTCATCCAGAGCCATTTTTTTTTTTTTTTTATTCCCCTCCCCTCCGCCTTAATGGGACGCCGCAGGATCGCTTGCGCATAACTACTACGGCGCAGTCATCCAGAGCCATTTTTTTTTTTTTTTTTTTTTTTAACGTTGGGAAATGCATTTACGCACGACGTGTGGGACTCACCGGCGTAATACAGCCAGTACTACCCACTAAAATCCAACAAAACCTTCCCCCGTCTTAATGGGGCGTCGCAGAATCGCTTACGCATTCAACTACGACGCCCCGACGGCAGGTCTGCCAAAGCAGACCAACACAACCATGGGGTGGCTCCAAGGTCCACTCTGCTATCAGAGAAGTACCAGGAGCAACCCGCATGGTATACCGCCCCCGAAGAAGGCCACCTCCCACCGCCCACCGAAGTGGGCAACCTCCCTGTGCGTTTCTTAGCTTCGCTACTACTACTGAGCCCCCCCCACCACGACAAGGTGAACGCACGTTGGGGGGGAGTCATCCAGAGCCATGTACCAACATCATTCAACACTTTAATCAAACTAATTTTCAAATTTACTAGCACCTCTGTAAACCAATCTTAGGCCACGGCTTTACAAGCCAACCAGCAATCACAATTGCTCCACAATCCAGGTGCATCCACTACGGGATCACCGTATGTATCATCCTTTCGATGACTACACACTATGGTCATAACAGACCCCGACCTCCGCCAGAACTAAACGCACATCACACACCCACGGTCTATTTAGTTTGAGCTTCCTCAAAAGACCGACTTTTACCAGGCTATGACTACGTAATAGTTACTAGTACGGTCGACACTACTACGGCCGTCAGAATGCTTACATCGGTTTCCATCGACTTCATTAAAACATTTGCTTGGCGTGATGATCATTATTTACATCAACCTCTATTGGTACATGACCTACTAGAATTTTTGTGTAAAGAATTTATAGCCGTCATGTTAATAGAAAACCTTTCAATATCTCATGTTCTATCATGATACCATTTTGTAACTAATAATTAGGCAAAACATGATATTTCAAAAGATTTCAAGAGAATTACCGTTAATTGTTACAAAACAAATTTTACTGTATGCGGAATATTCTGTTTTGATCAATACTAGAAATTGCAAGGACAAAATCGTTAACTACACAATTTGACTGCTAAATGTTATCTTACTAACGAATATTCAGCATCATGATCATAACAAAAGCAATACAGATTACCTCTATGCCATTGAGCATTCGAAGATGGTTGTACAACACATACATCCACGCGTCGTTCCCTTTGTGTTGCACCCATATTGCTGCCGTCCACTTGACTGGCACTACTTATGCACCGGAGCGTGATGTGACCAGGCTTGCCACATTTGAAGCACACCAGAGACTTCACTGCAGGCTGCAATGCCGTTGCTGTCATTGAAGGTCGTTCCACGCTGTCATTTACCTTGCTTCTACACTATGACCGCGTATGACTCACTTTTCTGCACTTATAACATTTTAACATTAGCTTGGCTCGTTTAGCATCAGGCACTTTTGAAAAATCATCAGATAAACTAGCTTTGCGTTTCAAATGTGAGAATGCGTGCAATTCCTGCTGCAGTCGATCTCGCGAAGCAATTTTCGTAGTAAAGGCCAATCGTTGTAATTTCGAATTAAACTGACATAAGTGAGCAAGGACAGTCGCAATTGCTATCTGATTCTTGCTAGCGTCTTTCCAACGATTAGTCAGTGACGTCATCAGGCGATTTGCGTACGTAACGAGTTTCTTTTTTCATTTGGTTTGTCACTGTTAAAATTAATTAGCGTACCAGCCAATGTCTCGGTGGAAATAAATCTCGCCTTGAAAATCACCTTGAACTCTTCCTATGTTATTCTCTGGTATACAAATTGTGATAGCCACGTCGACCCTTATCCTTTTAATTCCTTACTGACTTAAAACAAGCTGGCTGCCGTATGGAGGGTATTCGGCAAAACACAAATCTGCAGTCGCAACCAAAGATCTTGCGTCCGTATCTATATTGTCAGGGTCAAACTCGTGTAACCTGACGTTCTTCTTCATCCGAGGCATTTGCATGGCCTCGATAAGAGATCACATACTGACATTTTGTTGTTCAAACATAGCACGTCATTGTTCACTCAGAGTTAGTTCTTTTTGCAATTGAACCAACACTGATCCCGCTTCTGATATCGAAGCAACATTAATTTTCTCTATTATTTTCCATTATTTTATCATGAATTATACAGTGGGCGTTATATGGGAAGTGTTGGTTCAAATGAAAGTCGACGCAATCACAGTTGTATTTCAAATTAACAATAATCACTTTGTACATAGTTAAACAGCACTTCACTACACAGCCATATACCACTTCACTATTATACCATGTATAGACAATACGGAACGCAAGACAGTTCCTAGTGGAGCGGTCCTAAGCTTGGCTCGGCTCGAAGGCAAGTGTCCAGCCCTCTTAGCACCCCTCCCTTAGCTAGGCTCCGTCGTAGCACGAAGCTCGCCGAGTGTTGGCGATAATACCGAAGGTGCTGCCATTACTCAGGCGTCGTGCCGCGCTTCGTTTAGCGACCGTATTGATGACCGTCTCCGACATATATAATCTTTTTACTATTCAATATTTACAATCTATACTAAGTAACCAATTAAATTAAATAAAACAATAAATAATAATAATAATTTTATTTATAATATAGACAATTGAAGAATAATAGATAATAACACACTATAAAAACTATCCGAATTACAATATACGAATAAGAATTAAAATAAAATTATATATTAAATTTAAAAAAACCTCGGTTAATCTGTTCGAGAGCTACGATGCCACACACAGACACGTCAAACTTATATGACACCCCGTCGTTTTTACGTCGGGGTTTAATAAAAGCTATTAAAAGACCTACAATAACAAATCATACACACAAAACGAGTACGGGATCCGGCTGCAAGATTGGAATTTGAAACGTTTATCGATGAACGTAGCAATCTTGCAGCCGGATCTGAGACCATAAATTAAATAATTGTCATAGATGTGCCAAGCATTTATTACTTTTTCAATATTTTCCAGTTTTTTAAAACACACCAAAGGGGTTTAGTGATTGTTTTGATAGATCAATTAAATACAATTATCACTAAAAACTAAATGGTGAGTATAAATCACAGGTATAAATAAGTTAATATTAAGTAGAAGATAAATAATTTTACACGTACATTTGCTTTCATATTAAGTCGTAAACCCATATCAATAAACACCGTCTTTATATTTAGATAATTCCCTTAACAAGGCATCGAAGTATTTGTTATCTGGGTCATAGTGCTTTTTATAGTTTTCGTAATCTTCGGGAAGCAGAAGCCTGACTCCTTCAAGGAATCGCCAGTATCTGTTCTTTTGACTCGGAGTGCATCGCATGCAGGCTTGTTCCATACATTCAGACGTTATACCTATTAAAATAAAGAAAGTATAAAATTAGCTTTATCATTACATACTATAACTATAGTATAAAAAAGTCGCTTTCCGCGTCTATCTGTCTGTCTGTATAACCAGTAACTCCTTCTAAACCTCACACGGATTTTGATTCGTTTTTCACTATCAGATAATTTTTCAAAGCAAAGCTGATATCATAAATTAATATATAATATTTTAAACTATAATTAAAATTCATACCTTGTCATATTTATCTACCTATTTCATATCTTAAAGCATTGTCGTCTGTACACCGACTTCGAAGATATCTGATTAGGTATCTATAGTAAATGAAAGCTCCCCTTCAGTTATTTTTTACTTTTTAGTGTTTTGAAGTTGTTTCCATTTTTAGTGTAGACGTAGTAGCAAAGTAAGAAAAAAGCATTTTAATAAATTTATTAGTTTAAGACGTTTAAGTTAGTTAGATACCAATTTTTATATGAAGACTGACAGATTAAAATTTGCTTTTTTTAGTAACACTAAAAATTAAAAAGTTAAAATTAATTAAGGATTATAATTTTAATTTAGTTTGCTAAATTAAAATTATAATTACACATTGAACAATTATATGGCTTAAATAATTAATACTATATTTTATATTTTTCTTTATGGTTATAAATATAATAATGGCAACACTAAATAAAGATTACTAATTAATATTTTTAAAATTGTAATAATTATAAAAATAATAGCAAAAATTAAATAAATAATTTTCCATATTCAATTATAATTAAAATTATAAAAATGTTTAAAGTTAAAATATTGTAATGTAATTGATGCAATTTTCATTTTGTTGATTGTGGGTAGGCTGTCTGTAACAACTATATCTTTAAGACATGTAACACCTCAGTCTCTCCCGTGACCATGGATGCTGTAAAGCATTCGAAACGTCGGGAACCAAAAATCAAAATAAATCCGCGAAATAATCCGAAAAGATAGTTTTATTTAATAATGTCAAACATTCGCGTAAATCTAAGAAAGTATTATGTGAATCAGGCCCTAAAATCCAATTCTAACGATTTGGGCTTGTCAAATCAAACAAAATAAGCCCAAACTCAAAGTACCTACTATTAGCTATTGAAAAGTTCCACTATCCACCTTCTGAGTTTACTATCAGATCAGATCGACGATATTGAATTACTGCTCTATCAACGGAAATGCAAATACTTGCACAGTTTCAAGTCAAAATATGACTATTAGAAGGAGATAAAATTTTCATTAGATATTTTTCTATGCTTAGGGGTGATATTTTTTCTTCAAATTGATACAGGACTAAACTGGAGGTATACATTATCAAAAAAAAAAAGAATTTTCCAAATCGGTTATTAAATGCTGGGATTTTTTTATGTTTGTTACCTCAAAAGGTAACAATCTATACCAGTTAAGGTACCTGCCCTTACTGTCCCATCTCAAAAATCCACCCTGTATATGTAATAAAAATAGTTATTGCGAGTGTACCTTATGACATAGACATATACCTATTATAGGGAACTTTTCTGTAGACCTTTTTGAGCCCTATAATTTTCTAGTACATTGTTTTGATGTATCTCTTAAGGTTTAACCAGCGTTAGCCATATAAATTTCTAAGGACAACTGGATAGAACCAATCATTATCCGGTATTTGACCGGATATCAAAATATACCGATATCCGGATACCGTATAGTTACCGGATATTCAATTCATCTCTACTTATAACACCCCTCTTTTGTGTCGGAGGTTGAAAATAGGTTTTATTTTAAAAGATTAACTTACGTTTATAATGTATAAGAATGTCTGAGCACGGTTTTCTATCAAGGAAGCAGTCCATATAGCTTTTCAATGTGGTAACATTACTGACAAGAGCTTCAATGTCCAGTTTATCGTTAAGAGAAGTGTAGTACTCGATGTCGGCGGCCGCGAACACAAATAGTGCGAACAACACTATAGTCTTCATTTTTATAATCTGTAATAAGTATAAAAAAAATATTTTTTTAATCTAATACATTATTTTCGATTCTCTTTTAACGGCTTAAAATACATTTTTATATGTATTTTAAGCCGTTAAAAGTTAGACATGTTATGTGAAAGATGCGAATACACATTTAGGTGCAAAAATATTTACATAAGGGTGTCAAGTTTTAAAGTGGCACTTCTTTAGAATCGTTATGATTTGAAAGTCGATGAAAACGTGGCACTAAAAAGAGACAGACACATTAATATATAGGATTAAGCTGACGAGAGAATGAGATAGAATACATTGCCATGTTGCCATGGTAACCGTTGTTATTTGAGATAGAAAACATTATACCATAGAGTATATTGCTACATCATTATACATTACACAGGAAGAGAAAAAAATAATATGTAATGCATATTTATGTCAAATAAAATGTAAAATAACTTTTAAACTTCGTAAAAATATTATTAAAAAAATAAACCTTATAATTATGCTACTCCTGATACTCTATATTCATCACATTCTCTTGTAGGTTACTTTTCTGAAGTTTCACTTCTACCGTGTGTAAATTGCACACACACGCACTTTTTTTTCGTGTCGTGTATAGAATACACCCAAAAACAATAGTAGTTGATATTTTTGTCTTTATGTATTTTTGCATTTCACGCAAAAAATATTGAATGGATTTTTAAAATTTTTGTATAATCGAGTAATAAGAGAATTATTACTAGAGTCAACTTTTAGAATACTTTTTACTACAGGAAAATCTTTCAATTCCACGGTAAAATACAATAAAAAAATATGAACAAATTAAAAATATAAACATAATAAACAGACTGTAGAAATCTAACTTTTACAAATATTTTTTGGAATGATTTGGAAAATGCTGTCTCTGAATAAACATTGAAATATAACTATTTTTATTTATTTTTCCCGTTTGATTTTGATTTTTGATTACCGGCGTTTCGGATACTTTACAGCAAACATGGTCACGGAGGAGACTAAAGGTTTGACGTAAAACTTTTTTTAAATTGTATACAGGGATACAATACATTTTCGAGGAAAAAAATGCCAAAAAAATATTGAAATAATATCGTTATTTGTCTCGCATTTTTAAATTTGGACCGATGATTGTTGTTTTAATATTGATAAATAACCAGTGTGTAATCGTTTTTATAAATCAGAAGAAAAAATGAGATTAAAATTGATACTTTTTTTTTAATAAATTTTTGTTGTTGCATTTTGGACTTATTTTGAAAAAACTACAAAATATGATCACTCAAAAATGGTTCACTTTTGCATAATGCATATGGGGGTTAAAGTTGGAGCTAATTTTTAGCCTCCCCAGACCATAAAAAATAAATTTCTCGAAAATGTCTACATTTCAATTTCATTTTTTTATTTATTATATTTATTTTGAAGATTACATTCCCCTAGTTTCATGAAAATCAAAAGATTATTGTAGAAATAATAAAAAAAAAACAAGAAAAAATAAAAAACCGAGTTTTTTGCAATTTTCTCGAAAACTTTGAGATTATTGTTAAAAGTGTTATCTATAAAAATTTATAGATTTTTACTAGACCTACAACTTTTGCGGAAAATATTTTTCGATAGAACGTAATACACAGTAAGTTAGAAATTGAAAAAAAATATTTTTCACCGGTTTCGTCACACATACATTATACATTTTATTTACAATAATCTGTTCCTAACGGACCTTACAGAAACTGAGCGCAATTTCCATATAATTTATAAACCGATTAAAATAAAACAAATACTTAATGTTAAGTGAAGCTTAGCACAATATATTAGTAAAATCGCATCCACATTAGGTAAGCCGTTTCTGAGATATGCGTGTACAAACACACAGATAAACAGACAAAAAATCTAAAATTCATTGTTTTGAGTTCTATTGCGTTCATAAAGACTCTCAATAATAGTTTTTCTCAAATATCTTTCATGTACAGACAGCGACTAGTTACAATTTTATTTTATATACATATATAGATTTGGAACAAACAATTATACCTAACAACCTAACAGACCTCAAGAATATAAGAAAAAATAAAAAAAATACTTCACCTAATCAATATACTTTCGTCACTTTGATATTAAATTTTATGATAAAAATGTCAGCACACGTTAGCACTTGTTCAAAAGAAAAGATCTGCCAGAGTGTCGTTAATACTTCCTTGATTTTATATTTATATATGTATCCTTATCAAACGGACTTTAAACATAAGGGTGTTGTCACATGACTCGATCAAATCTAAATATCATTTATCCAAGTGGACTTTAAAAAGAATTATAATTTATGATTTTTTTATCTAGTTTACACGTTTAAAAGCCAGTATATTTTTTTGACTTCATGTTAACCAGCATCTCTAAAATATCAGCAAGCTGCCGCAAGCCCGGACGTTGGCCAGTTCTTCGAAGCTCGTCCTTTTCTTATAAAAGAAAGCCATTCACCTGCAAATGATGTGAGCAGCTCTCTGCTGGTTTCTGTAGCCAACGAAAGCAGCAATATTTCTCCTGAATGGACAGTAAATCAGTCGAAATGCATCGGCTAGAAACTCAATTTTTAAAAACCGAGTGATAGTATTTAATACAACATTATACTTATCCCGCATATGAGTGACTTTATCAAATACTAACGACTCTCCCTCGTTTCACTTCGGGTTCAACCCTAGACAAAAACAAGTCTATCCCACGGGAACGGTACATTTTTCCGGGATAAAAAATTTCATCCAGATCCGTTCAGCCATTTTGGCGTGAAAGAGTAACAAACGTCCATGCATCCTTCATCACAAACTTTCACATTTATAATAATAGTATAGAGTATTTTTAAAACTCATAGGTTATGTAAGACTGAAGGAATTGAAGCCGTTCATGCGAAATTGGCCTAAGCAGGGTGGAGATATTAGCATGTTAATTAAACATCAAATGAAAAATTTTAAAATTTTTATTATATCTATGTAATAAATATGATATTATCAAGATTTTCGAAGAGTTTTTTCTATATTTTCGTAATTGAGAGTAACTACGTCTTTTCACGCCATGTTCGTTATTTAAAAAAATAGTAGATAAAAGTACGAGTTTGATTTACACACCGAGGATTCCGTAGCGTAAAATTTTAAATTTATGCTATGATTTAATCTACTAATTTGTTAGTATAAAATAAAATATATTTATTATTCATTACATAAATTTTAATAATATATAAATTTTATCTGATTCTAAAGATAACTTTCTTAGATTTACGCGAATACTTGACATTTTAAATAAAACTATCTTTTCGGATTTTTTCGCGAATTTATTTTGATTTTTGGTTCCCGACGTTCGAATGCTTTACAGCAATCATGGTCACGGGAGAGACTGAGGTGTTAGATGTCTCTAAGGTATTATATAGTTGTTACAGACACCCACAAATAACAAAATGAATTCAAAAATTGAAAACTGGCACCAAAGTACTTTACAATATTTTAACTTTTAATTTTAAACATTTTTATATAATTTTTATTGGCTTTATAATTGAATATGGAATATTATTTATTTAATTTGAGCTGTTATTATTATAATTATTACAATTTTAAAAATATTAATTAATTGTCTACATTTTTAGTGTTGCCATTATTATATTTATAACCATAAAGAAAAAATCATATATTAATTATTTAAGCCACATAATTGATCTATGTGTAATTTGAAAAAGTTAAGGTCAATTAAAAATAGTAATTTTAATTTTAATTTGCTATTTTTAAAAAAAAATTATTAAGCAACACATTACTACATACATTTACAATTGAAAAAAGTGAAAAATATTAATCAGAAATGCTATCATTTTGATCTACACAGTAAGAACTTACTACATCTACCTGTCTGTTAGGTTTAGATTTATTATTAGATTTTATTATATATAACAGGATCCCATGACGATAGTAGTACCCAGCCATCTTCCCTATTGCAATTTGGATGTTTTTTAATTTCTATGGCTTCTCGAATCATTCTAGGGCGATATCGGTTTTCTTTCGCCAGGATTTGAGGTCTATCGAAGCGAATATAATGGCTTGGGCGGTCCTGACTATGTTTGCAGACAGCAGGTGTTGTATTGCGACGGTGCTTCACATCAGCTATGTGTTCTTTGACCCGGGTTCTAATGGATCTCTTTGTTTGTCTGATGTAAGAGAGCCCACAATCACAATCAAGCTTGTAAACTCCTGCATCTTGTAGAGGGATGTGGCACTTGACAGATGGTAGAAACTGACTAATTTTCTTTGGCGGCTTGAAGTAAGTTTTAATTGAAGCTCGCTTTAGATACTAAAGTATCTATAATATTCGTCTTCGAGTAATATGTCTGTGGCATGACGAAATTATAAAGGTTTTAGCTTTGCGTCTACGGAACCCAAAAAAAATATATCTTATATGAAGATATCACATCTACATGTTATGTAAGACGAAGGTCCATTTAAATAAGTTTTATAATCAAAATTATATCTTAATAGCCAAATATGCGGTCCATGCCCGTTTTAGTATAAAAAGTATAATGTTAATTAAATACTAGAAAAACGTTAAATTGAGATTGTCAACGATCAGTGCAATAGAGTCCTAAGTCATAAGCTGGACATTTTTTTTGTTTTTTATTTTTTTTATTTTGACACATTATAATAAAAGTTTAACTGATCGCTGTCTGTACATGGAAGATATGTGAGTAAAACTATTTTTGGTGAACTTTATTAACACAATAAAACCCAAAACAATGACTTTTAGAATTTTTGTCTGTTTGTCTGTTCGTTTGTGCACGTTAATCTCAAAAACAGCTTAACCGATTTGAGTACAGTTTTAATTACGAGTTTAAATTCGACGACACGTTTGGCTCAGTTTGTAGTCACCCAGCTGCGCCAGCGGTCGCGGGTTCGAGTCCGCTGGGGGCATTCATTTGTGTGATGAACACGAATATTTGTACTCCAGTCGTGGGTGTTTATATTTATGATATGTATGTATTTAAAGTTATATATGTGTAGTGTATCAACTATCTGGTGTCCATAACACAAGCCTCGTAGCTTACTATGGAACTAGACGGTGCTGTGTGTTAATGTCCCTACATATTTATATTTATTAATGTTTCATGGTGAATTTCCTCGAACATTTAATGTTTGTTTGATTTCAATCGGTTCATAAATAATAAATTTATATGTAAGTTTGTATAAACAACGCTTAAAAATTAAAGGCTGAACTTTAATTTTGCTTTATCATAAATTGTGGGTGCGTATTGTTGTTTTGTTAACCTAATTCATTGAACCTTGTTATAATAGCATAAGTTAGTATAATGTTTAATAGGAGGAAAAATTCTCACTATAAATTATGATAATATGTGACTTGTTTACGTTTATTATTATTTGATATTAATTGTTATTTTTGAAGTTATACTTCTTTAGGCACGTTTGGAAAAAAATATGAGAGTAAAAGTTTTACGATGCGCGCGCACACCGACAGCCAAGAAGTGACATGATAAAATTAGCTTTTAAATTCTCATTTTAATTTAAAGGTTCAATATAGTCGGTACGTGAGGCTAATGCCGATTTGAAAGCCACTTCTGCTGAGAAGTATCGACGAGAAATTCAATAGTTTTTAAAAACCGAGTGATAGTATTTAATGTGTACAACATTATATTTATCCCGCATATGAGTAAATTTATCAAGTACTAGCGACTCTCCCTCGTTTCGCTTTGGGTTCGACCCTAAACAAAAACAAGTCAATCCCACGGGAACCGTACATTTTTACGGGATAAAAAATTTCATTCAGATCCGTTCAGCCGTTTTGGTGTAAAAGAGTAACAAACATCCAACCATCCACCCTCACAAACTTTCACATTTATAATAAATGTAAATGTAAAGTGGACTCGTTTTCTGCACTTAGACTCCCTTCTGGTCCGTTGTACGTGCGATTCCTAACTATATTAGCCAGCCAAGGTCCGCCAAGGCCGTCCAGGATTACGTGGGCAACTGATTGTTCAGCACCGAGGCACCCTCTGCACAGAGGGGTATCCGTACCGCCGATGTTATATAGGTGTTTGTTCAAGGGACAGTGGCCCGTTATCGTCCCTATCATAATTTTAAGATTGGTTCTATTGAGGCTTACTAAGCGTTTTGAAAGTCGTGGGTTTACTGCAGGCAGAGCTGATCTAGACTGTCTGCAGTCTGCAGTTTGCGATCATCTGTTGTTTTGCAACGTCGTGGATCTTTGGCGGATCCAGGTGCGAATCTGTGCAAAGGGTAGGGGGAGAAGCGGGTATGGGCCAGTCACTTCTAGTTTTGACCCCCTCTTTGCGAGTTCATCAGCTGCATCGTTGCCAAGTAAGCCACTGTGTGCCCTCACATTTATAATATTAGTATAGAGTATTTTTAATACTCATATGTTATGTAAGACGAATTGAAGCCCTTCATGCAAAAGTGGTCTAAGCGGAGTGGAGATATTAGCATGTTAACTAAAATACTAAATACTAAATATGTCAGGACATTAACACACAACACCATCTAGTTCCATGGTAAGCTACGAGGCTTGTGTAATGGATACCGGATAGTTGATACACTAATATATATATAAACACCCATGACTGGAGTACAAACGTTCGTGCTCAGCACACAAATGAATGCCCCCAGCGGGTCTCGGACCGGCGACCGCTGGCGCAGAAAGTAGGGTCACTACAAACTGACCCAAACGTGTTGTACTATCTATAATCTAAGTAACCAATGAAATAAAATAAAACTATAAATAACAATAATATTTTTATTTATACAAACAATTGAAGAATAATAGATAATAACACACTATAAAAACTATCAGAATTACAATATACGAATAAGAATTAAAGCAATAAAAATAGCTACAATAACAAATCATACACACAAAACAGATGATATTTTTTGAAGACAATTTAACAAATACAAGGGGAAAGGAAAGTACGGGGAATTTAGTAATAAAATATACGACCAAACAACCGGCTTACTATACAGGAACACAGTCTAGTTATGTATACAGTCATCTAACGAAGCCATCTAGATAGGACAGAGACGCTTCCGACTGTCCTACTTACTTTTATATGATAGTCGGGAAACGTCTTTAGGATTAATTGCCATAACCTGCCACGAAATGTCACTACAACTTTAACTTTAAAATCTTTCGCCATAAAAATTGTAATTTTTTGACAACCCTTTCAAAAAGGCAATCGCCTTAGTAGGTGAACCAGTCAGACTAGACATTTTCCCCCGACAGCTTAAAATCTATGTTCCCAATCAACATCGGAATCATATCTAAGATATTCCAATACAATATTAAAAAAATACAATATGGTCTAAACATCTAAATTTTTAAACGCGTGCCAAGAGTGTACCCGTCTATCTAATTTATTTAACTGTAAACACTAACAATTATTTCTTAGAAGAGTAATTTTACACGTACATTTGCATTAACTCGATAAATCCATATTAATTAAGCAACGTCTTTATAATTAGATAATTCCTCTATCAAGTTATCGAAGTATTTGTTATCTGGATCAAAGTGCTTTCTGTAGATTTCGTAATCTTCGGGAAGGTAAAGCCTGATTCCTTCAAGGAATCGCCAGTATCTGTTCTTTTGACTCGGAGTGCATCGCATGCAGGCTTGTTCCATACATTCAGGCGTAATACCTATTAAAATAAAGAAATTATAAAAGTATCTGTATACATACATACTATAGCTATAGAATAAAAAAATTCGCTTTCCGCGTCTGTCTGTATGTCTATCTGTCTGTCTGTATATCCGGTAACTTTTCCTAAACCACACAACGGATTTTGATGCGGTTTTCGCCATCAGTTAGATAATTTTTCAAAGCAAAGCTTATTTCACAAACTAATATTATATATTGCTTTGTATGGGCTGGCACCGATTTCGAAAATATTTGATTAGGCATGTATTTAATAGGTAGGCTTAAATTACTTAGCCAAAGCACACCGACTTCGAAAATATTTGATTAGGTATGTATAGTAAATTAAAACTACCAATCAGTTACTTTTTACTTTGTACTGCTTTTGTTTGAAGTCGGTTTTTATTTAAACTGAATCACTATGGCATTAAGGGTGCTGCGCTTGATTTTGTTGCTTCCTATCTGAATCAGAGAATTCAGAGAGTTTACATAAGACATGTAAAATCTTCTGGATCTCTTTTTAAAATGGGTGTTCCACTAGGATCTATTCTTGGTCCTTTTTATTCTTAGTATGTTAATGATTTTGATATATGATACCTCCTTAATTTTTAAAGTTGAGCGTAGTAAACCAGATTATGACGAAGTAATCAGTGCATTGTCGTATATTTCCCTAGTTTGAATTAAATAACCTTGAGTTAAGCGCTATAAAACAAAATGTGTCGAATTTACATTGGCTAACGTAAAAAAGGAAAATTTTAGTCTGATCTTGAATAATGAAACATTGGAAATAGTTGAATCAGCGGTATTTTTTTGGGTATAACATTAAACTCTAAGCTTCCGTGGAACTCCCATCTCTCAATATTTGCAGATAAACTCAGCTCCACCGCTTTTGCGGTTATAAAAGTTAAAAACCTAACGGATATTAACACTGCCCGACTTGCATATATAAGTTATTTTCATAGTTTTTTATCTTACGGAATACTTCTTTGGGGCAATGCCGCGAAAATTAATTCTATATTTATTCTTCAAAAAAGAGTAGTACGAGGCATTTATAATCTAAAAGCTCGTGATTTCCTGCGAGATATTTTAGAAAAAAATGGTATTCTTACGGTTGCATTACAATATATACTGTGTAACATATTATTAGTACGCAAAAAATGAAATAATTAGTTAGCTTGTTCCGCAAGGGCTTCGACTCCAAAAGGTGAATAAATCCTTCATGGGCCTGAGTATACGCATATATAAAATGATTCCACAAACTGTGCTAGATTTAGATTTTCGAAACCTTAAAGATAAAAGTAATAATATTTTATTGAGCAAAGCGTATTACACTGTATAAGAGTTTCTGGTTGATGGAACTGTATGGACTTAAGATATATCGACCCATATCCGGGCTATCGATACATTAATAAACATAATATATATAGGCATATATATTATGTTTATTAATGTGACTTCGATATTAAAAAAAGCAACTGTTGAGTTTCTCGCTGGCTCTTCTCAGCAGAACTGGTTTCCGAGCCGGTGGTAGCTTCCTCATAGACTGACTACACTGACACTCTTTAAATTGGCGATTTAAAAGTGCTTGTAATAAGTCTATTTGTATAAAGTTTCATTTTTTTTATGGGACTAAGGGGGCAAACGGGCAGGAGTCTCATCTGATAGAAAGTGATCACCGCCGCCCATGGACATCTGCAACACCGCAGGGCTTGCAGATGCGTTGCCGGCCTTTAAGGAAGGAATATGCTCTCTTCTTGAAGGTGGCCAGGTCGTAGCGGTTCGGAAAGACCGCCGGCGATAGCTGGTTCCACAGAGTGGTTGTGCGGGGCAGAAAATGCCTTAAAATCGCACTGTTGTGGAACGCTGGACATCGAGGTGGTGTGGATGGAATTTAATATTTTGGCGCGATGTCATTAAGGGTGCTGCGCTTGATTTTGTTGCTTCCTACCTGAATCAGAGAATTCAGAGAGTTTACATAAGACATGTAAAATCTTCTGGACCTCTTTTTAAAATGGGTGTTCCACTAGGATCTATTCTTGGTCCTTTTTATTCTTAGTATGTTAATGATTTTGATATATGATACCTCCTTAATTTTTAAAGTTGAGCGTAGTAAACCAGATTATGACGAAGTAATCAGTGCATTGTCGTATATTTCCCTAGTTTGAATTAAATAACCTTGAGTTAAGCGCTATAAAACAAAATGTGTCGAATTTACATTGGCTAACGTAAAAAAGGAAAATTTTAGTCTGATCTTGAATAATGAAACATTGGAAATAGTTGAATCAGCGGTATTTTTTTGGGTATAACATTAAACTCTAAGCTTCCGTGGAACTCCCATCTCTCAATATTTGCAGATAAACTCAGCTCCACCGCTTTTGCGGTTATAAAAGTTAAAAACCTAACGGATATTAACACTGCCCGACTTGCATATATAAGTTATTTTCATAGTTTTTTATCTTACGGAATACTTCTTTGGGGCAATGCCGCGAAAATTAATTCTATATTTATTCTTCAAAAAAGAGTAGTACGAGGCATTTATAATCTAAAAGCTCGTGATTTCCTGCGAGATATTTTAGAAAAAAATGGTATTCTTACGGTTGCATTACAATATATACTGTGTAACATATTATTAGTACGCAAAAAATGAAATAATTAGTTGCTTGTTCCGCAAGGGCTTCGACTCCAAAAGGTGAATAAATCCTTCATGGGCCTGAGTATACGCATATATAAAATGATTCCACAAACTGTGCTAGATTTAGATTTTCGAAACCTTAAAGATAAAAGTAATAATATTTTATTGAGCAAAGCGTATTACACTGTATAAGAGTTTCTGGTTGATGGAACTGTATGGACTTAAGATATATCGACTCATATCCGGGCTATCGATACATTAATAAACATAATATATATAGGCATATATATTATGTTTATTAATGTGACTTCGATATTAAAAAAAGCAACTGTTGAGTTTCTCGCTGGCTCTTCTCAGCAGAACTGGTTTCCGAGCCGGTGGTAGCTTCCTCATAGACTGACTACACTGACACTCTTTAAATTGGCGATTTAAAAGTGCTTGTAATAAGTCTATTTGTATAAAGTTTCATTTTTTTTATGGGACTAAGGTGGCAAACGGGCAGGAGTCTCACCTGATAGAAAGTGAGCACCGCCGCCCATGGACATCTGCAACACCGCAGGGCTTGCAGATGCGTTGCCGGCCTTTAAGGAAGGAATACGCTCTCTTCTTGAAGGTGGCCAGGTCGTAGCGGTTCGGAAAGACCGCCGGCGATAGCTGGTTCCACAGAGTGGTTGTGCGGGGCAGAAAATGCCTTAAAATCGCACTGTTGTGGAACGCTGGACATCGAGGTGGTGTGGATGGAATTTAATATTTTGGCGCGATGTCCAATGATGAAACTCAGCAGCCGGGATCAGTCCAAACAATTCCTCGGAACACTCCCCGTGATAAATGCAGTAGAAGATGCAGAGTGATCCAACATCTCTACGCAGAGCTAAAGGATCAAGCTGATCGGAGAGAGCTTGATCGTCGATAACTCGAGCCGCCTTACGTTGAATGCGGTTAAATGGAAGTAGCTGGTACTGGGGAGCTCTCGCCCAAAGATGAGAACAGTAGTCCATGTGGGGCTGAATTTGCGCCTTATAAAGAATAAGACGCGACGTAAAGTACTGTCTCGCCTTGCTGAGCACACCAAGCTTCTTTGAGACCAGTCTGGCCTTACCTTCCAATTGACCACGGAACTGGACGTTGCTCGAGATGTCGACGCCAAGTATTCCGATACTGGCTGTGGGAAACAGAGGAGTGTCCTCAAATTGAGGAGCTACGTTAAATGGCGACTTTTTAGCGGTTAACGCGCAAACTTGTGTCTTGTCGGGGTTAAATTGGACTAAGTTTAGTCGACCCAATCCGAGACTTTGGTTAACAAAGATTCGACTTCAGACACAAGTTTGTTCCGGTTCTCGTTGACGTATTCCCGAGAAACATTAGCGCGGCCAGTGTACAGGGCATCCACAGTGCTATCGGCTGCACTAAAGCGGCCTTCCAGGACTTCGGGACTACGCCTAATGAATAAGAGTACCGGAAAAGACGCGTTAAGACCGGTGCCAACTCCGGAGCACATGTCTTCAGCACGATCGGAGGGATGCCATCGGGCCTACTCGACTTATGAATGTCCAAGGAAAAAAGTGCTTTGCGAACTGCACTTTGCCGGGACTGAACTTCCGGCATCGTAGTACCACACCGCGGGATTGTCGGTGGTGAGTTTCCTTGGTCATTCAGAGTCGAATTGGACGCGAAGAGAGTGCCAAGTAGTTCGGGATTTCTTTTCACGGAATTTTTTTTTGTTACAGTGTGTTAATAAAAGAAACCGTAGTTTTTAAATATCCGATGTCCGGTCGGATTCCGGATAGTAACACAATATCCACAAAATAAGACCGGATAAGCCAAATACTGGATATCTATTTCATCTCTACTTATAACACCCCTATTTTCGGTCGGGGATAGAAAATAGATGGTATTTTTATAAATTTACTTACGTTTATAAGTTAAAACAAGATCTGAGCACTCTGAGGGCGGTGTTCTATCAAGTACGCAGTCCACATAGCTTTGCAATTTGGTAACATTACGGACGACAGCGGCCATGTCCTCATATTCGAGAACGTAGTAGTCGATGTTGGCGGCCGCGAGCACAAATAGAGCGAGCAACACTAAATCCTTCATTTTTATGATCTGTAATAAGTTTAAAAAAATATTTAGTTTTTTAAATCTACTCGTAGTACATCATTCTCGAACCTATTTCATTTTGAAGTATATTTTAAGCCGTTATATGTTAGATAATTATGTGAAAGATTGCGAACACACCTTTGGGTGCAAAAATATTCATTCAAGGGTGGTATTTTTTTTCATTTCACTATAATTTAAAAGTATACTAAACTAAACTAAAACTAACTATCATAGCCCGAGCCGAGACTCTGAACTGAACTCACTACCTTAAGATTTGTAGCCGTACAAAGTACCCAACAAGGAAAAAAAATTAAGGGACTTCATATACGCATACATTATTTTTTGTCCGCACTTGGCCGCTATCTCTTCGCAGCCAGGTATAGGCAGGTACTATTTTGTTACATTTAGTCATTCATGGCTTATATTCCTAAGTTATATACCAAATTAAAGCGATTTTTTCTGTACCTGATAAACTACCTATGCCTATGTAAAAATGGCCAAGAGCGCAACGGCAACTATCACTTTTTAGGTTCTCTACGTATATTTCTGTGAAGTTGAGTATAATTTATTTTAATAACAAGTAAATCGATTTTAAACCGGCCAAAACCAAACTAACCAAATGCAATCTTGCAGCCGGATCTCGTACTGTTAGTGAAATGGATTACAATCTTGAGTAAGACTGATAGTTTTTCATTGACTATATTAATTAATAAATAATGATTTATTACTAGCAGAAGTCAGCGGCTTCAATGTTTCAAGTAATTCTGATCATAAATATTTTTTGGATTGTATTATAACGTGTTTTCCCGTGGGAAATAGATATAATCTCCTGCGATAAGTCACGCCAATCCGTCACTTCGTTTCGACTTGAAAGAAGGACAAACAAACAAACAAACAAACAAACAAACAAACAAACAAACAAACACACTTTTACATTTATAATAAATGGATAATGGATGCACTTTTGCATTTCGCATGGAGATACGCAATAATTACAGCCTTAATCTTGCAGCCGGATCTCGTACTTTAAGAAAAAATAAATAATACTTTACCTATTATACTTTCGTCACTTTGAAATTAAATTTTATGATAAAAATGTCAGCACACGTTAGCACTTGTTTAAAAGAAAAGATCTGCCACAGTGTCGTTAATACTTCCTTGATTTTATATTTATATGTATATGTATCCTTATCACACGGACTTTAAACATAAGGGTGCTGTCACAAGACGCGATTAAATCAAAATATAATTTATCCAAGTGGACTTTAAAAAGAATTATAATTTATAATTTTTTTATCTAGTTCAAACGTTTTAAAGCCAGATTTTTTTTGTATTTATATTCACCAGCATCTCTAAGATTTGAGACAAGATTCGGAGATAAACAATGGGTGGGTGCCAACGAAATTACAATCCCTACGATAGCAAACGCCGCAAGCCAGGCCGCTGGCCGGTTCTTCGAAGCTCGTCTTTTTCTTACAAAAGAAAGACACTCACCTGCAATCAATGTGAGCAGCTATCTGCTGGATTCTGTAGCCGACGAAAGCAGCAATATTTATCCTTAATAGACAGTAAATCAATCGGAATGCAGTTACTTACTTCCATTATTTTCAATGAAATATTTGTTATTACCTAAAAATAATATAGAAATGGAATGAAAATTGTATTCAGCCTTTTTGAACATCTCACTGCTGGGCACGAGACTCCTTCTAACATCGGAGGAATCAGGCCAAAGTCCACCGCGCTTGCCAAGTGCGGTTTTCCGGACTTCACATGTCTTTCGAAAACTTGCTAGGTTCTCTCTGACATGCAGGTTTCCTTACGATGTTTTTTGTTTCACCGTAACACAAAATTAATTTAATAAGACTTGTACAAGCTTTTAAATTCTCAGTTTAATTTAAAGGTTCAATGAAGTCGGTACGTGAGGCTAATGCCGATTTGAAAGCCAATTCTGCCGAGAAGAATCGGCTAGAAACTCAACAGTTTTAGAAAACCGAGTGGTAGGTAGTATTTAATACAACATTAAATTTATCCCGCATATGAGTGAATTTAGCAAGTACTAGCGACTCTCCCTCGCTTCTCTTCGGGTTCAACCCTAGACAAAAACAAGTCTATCACACGGGAACAGTACATTTTTGCGCGATAAAAAGTAACCTACGTGCTATTCCAGACTATAATCTATCTCTGTGCCAAATTTCATCCAAATCCGTTCAGCCGTTCTGGCGTGATTGAGTAACAAACATCCATCCATCCTCACAAACTTTCACATTTTATAATATTAGTATGGATTATTTTTAATACTTACTCATGTTATGTAAGGCGAATTGTATCTGTTCATGCAAAATTGGCCTAAGCGGAGTATTTAAATTATACGGAGTATAAAACTATTCCGTATGATAAAATTTTAAAAAAGTATTGATATTTAATTTACATGCTAATATCTCCATATTAGCATATAAATTTAACATCGGCACTGTTTTAAATTATCTCCATATTAGCATGTTAATTAAAAAACAATAGTTTTAAAATTTTATCATACTTGCGTAATAATTGAATATTTTTTATATTGATTTTGACAATTTTTTGATTATTTTCGTAATTGCGAGTATCTACGTCTTTTCACACCATGTTCGTGATAAATAAAAAATCGTAAAAGTGCGAGTCTGATCAGCACACCGAGGGTTCCGTACTTAAAATTTTTATATGTTATGATTTAATCTACTAATTTGTAATCCAATTAATAATAATAATTCAAAACCTTGCCTAATAATATAAGTATAATAATGTTTATAAGAAAAAAGAATTCTCAATATAAATTATGATAATACTTTCTTAGATTTCCGCGAATATTTGACATCCCATCAAAAACACAACATGTAAGAAATTGCAAGTTTCGCAACGCTTATCTTCTACCGCAAAAGGTTGAGATATAATGTAAAACATTATCAATAAAAGCATCTATTCAATAAATTTGTCATAAATCGTTACCCAATTAGTTAAGTAACATGACTTGGCCATCGCACGGAAATATAATCTCATAAGAATCTATAATTTTAAATAGTCGTAATTGAACATACCGTGACCAGGAATACATAAAACGTGTGCAGGCGACAAGGTGGACCGACGACTTGGTCAAAGTAACTGGAGCCCACTGGATGCGGATGGCACAAGACCGGTTGACTTGGTTGGTCAAGGCATTCTATCAGTTAAAGAAACAAATATATCTAATAGTATACGGTCACTATTTCTATATATTATATATTTATTTTATGACAAAGTGTTTGGATAGATGCATTTATAGATAGGTTCTTAATAGATTAACCGACTTAGTTTTACATTATACCTCATAACTTTTTGCGGTAGAAGATAAGCGTTGCGAGACTTTTTTACATGTTATGTTTTTGTTGGCATCTCATTTCTTTTTGTAAGTAGTTCTCCTCTTTTTCTTTTCATGTATTACTTCTTGTGCGTCAGCTACGGACTTTCTTACAGCCCACTCCCTGTCTTTGTGCTTTTTTTAGAGGCTTAGATGCAACAAGTTTTGACAAGTCTGAACGGTAAATGGTTCGGAAAATTGCGGATTCCTGGGCTTTAATTCTACTATCTTATGCATTAGGTATAAATAAGTATAGTTAATTTAGCGCTTATTTTAATTTCATTGGTGATACTAAATACCTACCCCGATACTGATATTGAATTTACATAAGTTTAATAAAACGTGTAGATTTTTGTGGTTCTATCTGCGGCATTGTAGGTAAATCCTGAAGGTTGTTATACCTAATTATTATTGCTTGTACAGTCAATTTTAATGCAGTTTAATTGGAACTAACTTCATTCACTTATTCTATTGTCGATTTTAAAACGAATTTGCGAAGAGATTGATATTTCATGACCTCTATATTCCATGTTTCATTATGTGGGTACAGTTACGAGCAGTGAAATGTATTTGTTGGTAAGTTTTCTAATTAATATCAACGTATCATACTTTGCAAAAGAAAATGTACACACACCAGGTAATCTAATATTAGTATGTATAAACTATACACGCTTCACGTTATATGTATTTATGTACCCCTTTCTATATGCATAAAAATTGTATACAGAGCTATTAAATATCGCGTAAAATAGTTTTTTCGCATTTGAAAAATAGTTTTCTAATACATGTATACAATAGATGCATTATAAACATTAATAAATAGACAAATCGAAATTAGGTTAGTAATTACGAGGGAACATATTATCAGACATATAAACATACATATACTCGTACATCAAACACATACATTTGGGCCTCGCCGTAATTGGAATAAAAAGAAAGACAGAGGTAACATAAAAATAATATTTAAGTTCCAACTTTTGTCTAATTATTTAATTTACTATTAAATTAATCGTCTATTTATTGTACATTTTATTACAATATATGAATAAGGTGAAAGAAACTAAAAGTAAGTTATCGGGCATTGAAAATACTATTTAATTTGAATTGTAAAAGAAAAATATATTGTAAATTTAATATTTTATATATATTTTAAAATAAAATATTTTATGATTTTCGAACGAAATTTATGTTTGACATCAACGACATAAATTAAGGCAAGATAATATGATGAAATTTATTTATGTAAAAATATTAATATTATGTGTATTTTAAAATATAAAAACAACACTATAAAAAAAATACCTAAACAAATTAAATACTTAGTGATGGCAAACGGGACCCTGAGAAGGATATATTTTAAGTTGGATGTGGCTTACAGTGCATAGTAAAAACTTTTTAGTTCATCTGATATAATTATGCAATTATAAATTAATTGTTTTTAATTCATTTATTTCTATGGCATCAATTATATTTATATTTCGTGTAATTTCTTTTTAACATGACTTAACTAAATATTGACAAATACATAGTCAAGTAAAACTTAGAACTCACGCTCCGAGGGCTCTGTACTACCACAACCATATTTATTACTAGCAAGCCCGCGACTTCGCCCGCGTTCAGA